ATATATATATATATATATATATATATATATATATATATATGGTGGGGCACATTCCAATCATGAAAATGATGTGGTTCAATAATGTTTAGTGACATGAATCAAAAAAGTAATTTACAGCTGGGTGCAGTAGCACATACCTGTAATCCCAGCAGCCCGGGAGATTGAAACAGGAGAATCGCGAGTTCAAAGCCAGCCTCAATAAAAGCGAGGCACTAAGCAACTCAGTGAGACTCTGTCTCTAAATAAGAATACAAAATAGGGCTGGGGATATGGCTCAGTGTATGAGTGCCCCTGAGATCAATCTCTGGTACCTCACCCCCAATAAAGTAATTTACAAATTGTGCAGATTAAGATCTCATTTGTATTTAAAAGTGTCTATCTGTAGAAAGAAAGGGGGTACCAGGATATACATAAAATATTCACTCTGGCTTTATGCCTCTGGGTGTTAAAATCACCAATGATTTCATCTTATTTTGTAAAATAATTTGTAAATCACCTTTAATGAAAATGTCTTACATTTCTTTGATTAAAAAATAATTTTAAAAATCCAATTTCCAGAACAAATAGAACCATAATAATTAAGAAGATTAAAAACTTCCTAAATCCAAAGCTAAGAATCTATGTATGGTTCTGAACCAATCTTTACAGAAGGCATATTAAATCCTTTAAACTTACCCAGTTCCTGGAAGTATCCTGTTTTATTCTCTAGTAAATATGCAATATTTTTCATAGAAATTCCATGAATTCTGAAGTTATATCGTACCCCAGGTCTAAAAGTATCTAGAGAAGAAAAGCCAATAACTTTCAGTAACACAGAATGACAATCTCTTTTACTCTGAAAAGGAAACGGATAAAAAATGAATTTGTGTTCTCCTAATAGTTTTCTTCTCAGGAGTTCTGCCTTTTTCTCCACCATCTTCCCTCCTTCTGTTGAGTCTTGGAGTCCCCTGTGTGGCCAACCCTTGACCCCATGGTGTTGTCTCTCACAAAGCCTGCGGGGATTGACATGGCCTGTGTCCTCTTGAGTAACAACTCTCAAACTCTCCTTATCCATCTGCATATAACTGGGTGAGAATCAAGCCAGACACATAAAGCCAGTTCAAACTCTCCCTCAACTTTGAATCTCCTTGTAGTTATTGCCTTCATTCTTCCCATGAAAGCCCAATGCCTGGAAAGCTTGTTCCACTTCTTTCTTTCTCCTCACACCTGCACCACTGCAGTCTGCTTCCAGACCCGCTACGGCACTGAAACTGGCAGGGAACCCAGCCAACTTCCACATTGTCCCTTAGCCTACTAGATGGTGCACCCACCCTCCTGCTGAAGCCATAAATGGGCTCCTCCTTTGACTTTGATAAAGTAGCAGTTGTCAAGTTATAAATCCAATGTGGAGATGAGAGTTCCACCTCGACACGTTTACTTATATTGAAAGTAGATAATTGACTCCAAATCAACTCTGTCTTCATCATCTCCCCAATCCACATACTTCTCTGCTTTTGTAAATGCTGTCCGGACAACTGTCATTCTGTCCCTCTTCCACTCATTTGAGAGGGCTAATGTAGAGGAACAAGGTCATCAAATCTAAAATTGATCCAAACCTTAGCTCTCCACACTTTGCAAAAATAGATTTAAAGCTCAAAGCTTAGATTATACTCTTGTAAAATCTGAACTCCTAGCACCCATGCTGGATTTGTGATTTCAAAACTATTAGCCTGGCAGAGTCAAGGCATCTGTGTGGTAGACCAGAAATCCTGGTGCACTCGCTGCGAGGTGGATACACAGGATGGTAATGTGGAAGTTCTCCTCACCTGAGCTGATGAGCGTACTTGTGGTATTAGGACCCAGTTTCTTCCACTGCAAATTACAAAACAGGTCCTGACGATGCTCACACCAGTCCACAACATAGCCTATGACATCTCCAGAGAGGGGTTTCCAAGACATGAAGAATCCATCCTCTCTGCTGTTAATTTTTTCTTCTTCAACCTCTTCTGTTCCTGTGTAGAAACACAGCAGTGCTTTTGATTTAATTAATTATAGTGTTTAAAAAAGTTAGTAAAGAAGAAAATAAATATGCATGTGAAATGTATCTGCTATAATTTGGATCCAAAATATCCCCCAAAGGGCTGTGTTCTGAAGCTTTGGTCCCCAGAGCATGCTGCTCATGAGAGCTGATGTACCTTTAAAAGGTGGGTCACAGCTGGAAGAAGTTGTCATTAGGAGGGTGTACCCTTGAAGGACCTGTTAGGATCCTGGCCCTTTCCTCTCTCTTTTCTCTCTCCCTCCTTCCTGGCCACCATGAGGGATCAACTTTGCTCCACCATACACTGTCCATCATGGTATGCTGCCTCAGTATAGCCCCGAAACAATGGGCCAACTGACCACAAAGTAAAATCTCTGTGAGCCAATATAAACCTTCCCTCCTTATAAGTTGCTTGTCTCATGTATTTTGTCACAGTAGCAGAAAACTGATTAACACAATAAATGACAGGTAAGAGCCTAGGTCTTTAATGGCCACAGGGGCTTGAGTGGGGCTTCTCACTTCCCAGAAAATACATCTGTATCTCACATACACTTGACTCACTCAGATCCAACCAGCCTTTGGCACCTAGAACAGGGGTTGGCAAACTGTTGCCAAGAAGATGATTCTGGCTTCTGAGGCCAATTTTTACCATGACCCTTGCGATAAGAAGGGTTCAGTTAAAGACAAATAAACCAACAAAGAAGAGTATAAAATATATGACAGACACTGTATGACCTGCAAAGTCTAAAATACTTATTATCTTCTCCTTTAGCCACAAAAAGTTGCTGAGAGCTGAGGATGTAGCTTAGTGGTAGAACAATTGTCAACACGAGTTAGGCCCTGTGTTCCATTCCAGTATTAATTAAAAATGGTTGCTGATCCTTGACCTACACCCATAGCTGGTACTCAATCTGTTTTCAAAACTACCTGTTGAATGAATAACCAATGCAGCTTTATTTCTGCCCCCAGGTCCCCCCACCCTCCTTAGCTATCCTTGTACAAACTGCTGCTTCTGAGCTGTTAGTGGAAGAAATGGAGGAGAGGACAAAAAAAAAAAAAAAAAAAAAAGAAAAAAAGAAAAAACCCTCAGGTAGGTAAGGTACTGACTTGGGCCAAGCAAGGATCAACATTCCATTTCTGACAAAGGCTGCGGTCTCCACATACTTTATACATCCAGTCAGTTTTCCCAACATCTGACAATTGGAGAAAGAGTAATGTGGCCTCAAGGAACTACCAGTTCTACTGATTTCAAGCAGGCCACACTTGACCTTGAGGCATAAGGTTTCACCTATTTCCACTGACTTCCTCTAAAATCGAATTTGTCTATGTACAATTCAAATTTCACTAGGCCTGCTGCCTGTCATCGGGCAGTCCTGATTACTGAACACTGGTGTGGAAGCATGGTGCTACTGACTTCTAGGCCACCAAACTGTTAAATTCACCCAAAGGAATGAATAGGTATAAGGTAAGACCCCCCCCCCCCCCGCCCCTTCCTTCCCTTCTCCACCAAAGAAGCAAATCGCTCTCACCCCGAGGCGGACAGTTTTCACTTTGCTTATTCATACTGACTGAAACTGAATCCAAACTTAGGGCTATAACTCTTAGGCAAGGTGCTTCTTGAAAACTGCAAATATGTTTTGAGAGGGAGGTAAAGGAAATCTTTTCTTAATCACTCGCACCCTGGTGTGAATTGGATTAACATTGATGGGTTTTCTCATAGCACATGAGTGACTTTACACACTCTAGGGACGTAAGAGCATGGGCCAGTTAAGGAAGGCTAGATGGAGCCTAACATGGAGGGTCCCAGAGCCTGAAGGCGGGCATGGGAATGGAAGCTGTGGTAGGAACCCACAGACAGAGAAGACCCCTGAACTGGTAACAGCACTCAGCAGTGTTTGGACTGGCTGCACGTGAGACAGTCTTTTATCTACCAGCTCCCACCAGCTGCATCCAATGCCCACTTTTCTCTTCTGGCCTTAATGAGCTCAGAATGCAACTATTCATCTCCTCTCCATAGCTCTTCACAAAGCAAAGTCACCCTGAACACTCCCAGAGTTTCTCTTCTGGAGCACAATACTAATTTCTTTTTCTTATCTGACACATACTGAATAGTTCTTTAAAAGTCAAAAAATGAAACAACACCACGCTGTAATCCAATCCACTTAACCCAAATTTACAACAAACTTGAATCATTGGTACAACACAAACTGCCACCCCTCATAAGCACAGCCTGGAGAGTTTAACAGCAAGAACTGAAGGATGTTATTATTACAAGGCTCATGAATGACCTTAGGATGTCAACTACCCATTGCCTTATACCCCCATGTGCATTGAGCCATGCTGTGTCACCATGGCTTACTATTTCCAACCTTTTCTGCAGCTGTCCCAAGAAGGAGATTCATATCACTATTGACTCTGCATGCAAGGTCATTTCTACCTTGTTTGCTCTTTCATAGGTCGAGGGAGTGGCCAGTTATCATCGTTTACTCTATGCAACTGGCAAGGCGCCTTAGCAAAGAAGATGCTAATTCTTCTTATGACTTCTCGAGATGTTCCTGGGATTTTGGTAGGTGACAAAGACTGACCACATTTTTTTTTTATAACACCATAAATGCAACTCATATTTCACAAGTCACAAGGCACAGAAGTGCCGACCCCACTTCTGGGGGAAGACTGTCTGTGGAGTGGTACCTACTTGAACAAATCTGGGATAAGTTCCTGAATGTGCTTCTCTGGCCTTGGCTGAGATCTTGCTAGTGTGAGGCTGTGCCCCACTGAGGCATGTGAAGACTCCTGGCCCCAAAGGAAATGACTCACAGTGCTTGCCACTAGATGTTTTGTCTTTCCAAGTTCATATCTTCTCAATCTATCCAATAATACTTAGTCATATCACCAACATTTTCCTAGAGAATGAAAATGAAACCAACCAAAAAACAACTCACTATTTCCAGAGTCTCCAGAGATGACAATCACAGATGCTGGGGAAGTGCCCACACTGTTGTTGGCTGTGATGTGGATTTGGTAAGAACACAGGTCAAGGGTTAAATTTGCGTCTCTGGTGGATGCAGGAATGGGGTAGAGCTCTGATGTGGATGGTTTGTCTAGATTTTCTACAACCACATTATAGAATAGGATCTTGCCATTGGCATGAAATTTTGAGAGTGGCTGAAAAAAAAATGATGATTATTTTAAAATGAACTTTATTTTGAAAGGACTTTGTATAATTTTTTTTTATAATTGAGGGACTCTTCTGGTCCCTCAATAGCCTGACACATATGTGTGCAAGAACACACACACATACACACATGCATATGCACACACAGACACACACACACACACACCAGCAAATTCCAACAGCTTAATAGAGAAAATATTGTCTTCAACTTAGAATCAGACGTTCTATTCTATAACATGAGCAGAGAAGGCAGTCATTTGCATCTGATCCTCAAGATGTAATATGTCCAGAGAGGAGGTTCTAAGTCAGCAATCAAGAGAAAGGGAGATTCTTTAGCTTGGGTGCTGGAGAGATTTGGGAAAGCAGTGGAGAGGAGAAGACCCATAAATAGAAATAGTAGTACCCTGCAGCCTGTGCAGAGGAGCCTGGGCTCTGGTCCCATCCCTTGTCCAGTTCACAGTCCCCTTACTCAGAGCCTGCACTCATGCTTCTAAAAGATCCTTCAGGTTACAGAGAATCGGCCAACACAGCCCCAGGCCAAGGTCCAGGGTCTGTTCCTTGGGCTCATCCTCCCCAGGACAGACTGGGGTGTGCGCATCCCTAGACCTGAGACAAGAAAGTGGCTTTCTGCTTGGGATATGGGCAGCACCTGGATGTAGGACTGGCAGATCCATGTGTGTGAACACAGAGGTCCTTACAGAACATGGAAACTAGAGGTGAGAAGAAAGGCAGGCTGGGCCATGGCTGGGGGCTGACCCTCTCAGCATTACCATGCTCTGGTACAAAACACTCTCTCACTCAAAGTTATGAAAAGAAGGCTGGTCTTCCAGGTGGTCAGGAAGTATGTTAAGCAATAAAACCATGCTATTTTACATTACAGTTTTATAGCCTGTTTATAAATTTTAAATACAAATAATATTAATATTTCAGTATTCATAATTTAAAAATATGGTGTGTGGTTTTCCACATGTTCCCTTGCCCTGGGCTTTGCAAAGTTAGGGGTTGGCCTGAGTAGAACTTACAGAGAAGAAGGTTCTAGCAATCAGGATTGGCCATCAGTAGCATGGGCTGCCAGGAAAGTAGTAGTGCTAGTGTCAGGAAGTGAAAGAAGAGTGGGATTCCTTGGCTGGGGACACAGTTCCCTAGGACCAGTACTGAGATGGCTCCCTGTTGGGAGGCTGCACCAATTTCACTGTGAAGGACACAGTACAAGCAAATCTGGCTTTTTTGAAGGTGCACATCTTACCTTCCAGAATAAGCTCACAATATGACTTCCTTTCTCTGACTTCACTATTCTCCAGACATCAGGAGCCTCAGAGGGAGCTGAAATTAACCAAAGCAAAGTTCCCAGGTCATAATGTGTGTCTAGACCAACTGCTTTCTAAGTCCATAATGAGTGCCCGCCCTCCTGAGGCCTGCCTCTCACTTCTTCAGTCCCTGTGACCTCTACCCAATTATCCACAACCACGCTGTTCACTCCTCACTAGGTGCACACAGTAGGGACTTTTAAAAAAGCATCAGCTGGCCCTGAATGTGACACCAAACCAGACGCCTTTTTAAACATCAAGCCTCAGAGCTTTTGGAAACTGCCAAAGAATTCTGCAATCATTTCTAGATCAATTCTAGGAGGTGAGTTGGGTAAATTTTGCCAGTTTTGACTTTCCAGGTAGGGATCATTGCTAGTTCCTTGTGCCTTTTGCAAAGGCTGCAGTTGAGGAGCACTCAAAGATGGCCCCCTAGGGGTAGGAAGCACAGAGCTCTTCTTTGCCTTCCTGATTCCACCTGGCTGGGCCCTCACCAGAGTCACAGCCCCATTCACAGCCCCAGCACCATTCAGCTGCCTAAGGACATGGTCCCTCTATCATGACTTGCCACACTGTTTGGGAATACTTTGATTCCTTGTCTCTCTATCAATAAACTGTGAGATCCCTGGGGCCAGGGGCCTTGGCTCATTTGACTTTAAGACCCTAGAGCACTTGCCTAGCATGTGTGAGGCACTGGGTTTAATCCTCAGCACCACATAAAAAATAAACAATTTAAATAAAGAAAGGCATTGCAAAATTTAAAAATTAAAAAAAAAAAGACCCTAGTATCAGGATCAGGTCCTGGTACTTAATGAAAGTTTTATGTGCACAGTTTGAATGAATAAAAAGCAAACTAAGAAGGAACACAGAAAACAACCTGCTTAAATGTACCAATATTTTTTTGTCCTCATCCCTCCCTCATCTAATTGGTTGATTGACTAGTTGTTCATTTTGTATTGGCTTTATCATTGCTTATTCAACTTAGCATGAGAAGGAACCAGTCTTTTAATCCACACCAACGCTTGATACCTGTGAATAAAGTTATTTCAGGGGAATCTCATTCTTACAAAAAAAAAAGGAAAAACAGCTAATATTTATAATATTGGACTCCAAGCTCAATGCACAATCTTTAGCTGGCTTGTAAATTACTACTCAAAAATCAAACAGTGCTGTAACATGGTTGATAGCACTATACATTTACATGTAAGACAGTTTCTACTGCAATGTCATCAACTGTGTGTGTAATCACTGTGGTTTTTCTTATTATTGCAATCCACCAAACATTGAGCTTTCCAGGATTAAGCAAAGTGCTATTAGAAGTAAATATCCATAGAGTCACTCTGGATGAATCTAGAGTCACAGATTCATCTCAGTTTATCATTATCAAAACCAAATAAAAGTATTTTCTGGTTATTATACCACAATCTAAAGTCCCTCTCCCCTTTTGCCATTTTCCTTTTTGTGCAAAATTATAATTATAATGTTAGAATCAATTTGCAGCAAACAAAAACCCCAAAGCAAAACAGCATCACTGAAGTAAAAATTCCTTAATGAAACACAGCTGAGAAATACACCCCATCCAGTCAGAAACAGGCCTTTACAGCAGGGAGATTCACTGAGAGTTTGCCTCCTTGGAAGAATTACTGGAGTCTTGGTGGTCGAGAACCCTGGAGGGGGTGGGAAGGATGCGGAACTCACTAATGGTCATCTCCATCTGTAGATTCTGACCAGCTGCCCTCACTGTGCCCAAATTAGAGCCACTGCTTTAAAACGGCTCTTGTAGAATGCGGCAGACTGAGCTCTGCCAAGCTACACACAAACAAGAAGACGGGATGAAACACATAGTGTAATCCTTCCCTTGGCTGTAAACAGCCAGGGCTTGAATAGACATGATCACAAAGCTGTGATCACAATGCCAAGAGAGGACACTGGAAACCTGGTTCTGGTCAGGGTGGAGCTCTGCAGCCAGGCTGCCCGGGTGTGAGTCACAACTCAGTCACTTACTGGCTGGGCTAGTGAGATCACTTCACCACTCTGTGCCTCAGTGTCCTTACCTATTAATAGCACTTGCACATGTAGCCAGGATTAAAAGAGAACAACTGTGGGCACACAGAGCAGTGTCTGGCATAGGATAGATGTGAACTGCTGTGTTATTCTTGTGTCTGCCATTCACGAATGTTGCAGACTGGGTAAGTCTCTTGAATCCCTGGGTGCAAGTTCCCTCATCTGGAAAATGGGCCGTGGTAATACTTTATTATGATAAATTGGAAAGAGCTGGATGCAAGGCCAGGCCATCTCATCTCTTCAGGTCCATTTGAGTTCTGGGACATAGTTATCTGGGGAGAAAGCCCTGTGCCATGAATATTCAGAAAACACTGCCACTTAGAGCATGCAGAGGCTCCCAGAGCACCACCACTGGAGCTAATGACTTACTAATAAAGATTAAGGCCCCAAATATCAAGAGTACATTTCCAAAAACAAACTGAAGCTGTTCAGTATGAGACCAGTGCTCTCCGTGGCATTAATACTTTTATTTGACCCCAGTCCTGATTTAAAGATCTATACTAATTTACGCAGTCCTGGATCCAATGTGCATTCAGCAATAGCAGTGGCTTAGAAACTATTTTAGAAAAATGAAAGGTAAGAAAGAAAAGGTATACTAGAAATAATACTGATGTCTAATGTTTGAGATCGATGTCTCCCTCTCATTAGGCATTGACCCAATTTTAAAAGATGGTATCCTGTTTTCATACTTGCCTCTTTTACAACTAAAAGCTCTTAGAGAAGCCAGCCCGTCTCTGGGGTTTAGTTCCATGGGTTAAATGCCAGGGAGCTGAACATACCAGCTTCAGGGGTGGTGAAGTTTTCAACCGTCCATTCACTCCACTTCCAGAAGTGTTTGGCATTAGCACAGCGTACACGGGCCACGTACTGTGTATCAGGCACCAGCTCCCCAAAGAGGTGCTCCCCATTCACCTTCATGTCAACCCTGTGCTGCTTGATCAAAAAAGAGAAGAAAGGAAAAAAGACAAGGCAGAAGTGTTGGTGAGCTCAGATTGCAGAGCCAAACCAGAACACAGTCAATCCTGGTTTGGAGTAAGACCAGCTCTTCTTCAGGGGAAAAAAAAAAAATCCCTAAAGTTTTCTTCCCTCCAGTAAAAATTTACGATTAATGTCAAGTTCCTTTTTAAACAGATGATCCACATCACTGAACTCACAGATGAATCAGAGTTTGAAGTGATTTTATTCACCACCTCTCTGTTCAGAACATAGAGAAATATGAAAAACAGGAGGTTAAGCAGGATTCTTACTTGTATCACTTTCCCACTGCCTTCCAGTTCAACCTGACACTGAAGTGTCAAGTAATTCCCAAGGACATGCACCTTCCAGCTCATCAGGACGGTTGTGGCGCCTCTATTTTCAAAGTGGACACTATGGGGAGCCATTGGATGAACTGCCAAAAAATGAAAACAAAATTTTTTTTAAATAAACAAAGAAAAGAATTTAAGCACAGATCCAAAAGAACTTTGGTAAATTGGCAGTTCATCTTTCCATTTAAAGAGTATTTTTTGTTTAAGAACATGGTCAACAAAACCGGACTTACTGACAAAATATAGTATGCCAACTACACAGCTTTTCTCTTTTATTGACTGTATTAGACACTTGAAAAACATAAAAAGAAATAACCTAAGTATTCTTAAAATTAAACATAATTAGGCAGATTGTGGAGGGGAGTTAAAACTTAAAGAAGAAAGCCCATGGAAGAATTTTATAACAGAACTCAGAGTCTAATAAAAACAATATTAACAATGTCAGGAATATAATCCCAAATAGTCAATGTATAACAATATTCTGGAAAAATGTCACCAATTCCCAAGAGAAAAGATAACCAACAGGTGACAATTTCCAGATGACCCATATGAGGAACTGTTAGACAAAGATTTCAAAAGAGCTCCATGAGGTAAAGGTGAGAATATTTAGAAAAAAATGAGAAATATTAAAATGGTTGGTGGGGGCTGGGTGTGGTGGCACACGCCTGTAATCCCAGTGGCTTGGGAGGCTGAGGCAGGAGGGAACTCTAGTTCAAAGCCAGCCTCAGCAACAGCAAGGTGCCAAGTAACTCAGTGAGACCTGTCTCTAAATAAAATACAAAATAGGGCTGGGGCTGGGGCTCAGAGGTTGAGTGCCCCTGAGTTCAATCCCTGGTACCCAAGAAAAGGAAAATGAGAGGGAGGAGAGAGGGAGAGAAGAAGAAGGAGAGGAGAAGGAGGAGGAGGAGGAGGAGGAGAAGGAGGAGGAGGAGCAAGAAGAAGAAGAAGAAAAGGAGAAGGAAAAGGAGGAGGAGAAGGAGGGGAAGGAGGAAGAGGAGAAGGAGGAGGACTGAAGGAGAAGAGGAGAAAGGAAGGAGAAGGAGGAGAAAGAGGACTGAAAATATAATATCTAAAATTAAAAACTGACTGAATGAAATTCAGTTGTGAAAAAAAAGGAAGGAAGCACCTTTGTCCTGTCTATCCCACCGAATGCAGTGGGTATAATTCACAGAGAGCTCTCGAAGAAATTTGAAAGGCAAATAGCAGCAAAGATCCTGGAAACCAGAATTAGAAGTACTGCTTGAACTGGCAGGGGGTTCATCTGCTGCTTCCTCTTTTTTTTTTTTTTTTCACTTTCTTTTTTTTTTTTTTCATCAGTCCTCATAATTCATGGCCTTAGATGAAGGCACAGAAGAGGAAGTACCAGAGTGGGCTAATTAAAGTCCCAGATTTCTGACTGGAGAATCAAAACAGAGAGTTCCAGGAAACCAGAAAGCACAGAGAAATCATGGAAGGGAAGGTGGCTGGAGAATGTGATTTCATGAAATTGTTGAGGAACTCCCATGCTTACCTCTAATGTACATGCCTAGATTTAATCTTATGCAGCATACCAAAGAATCTGAGTATTAGTTAACATACCACTGTCTAGGTCCCAGATGTCACTGGGAGACAGACACATGGGCGGAATAGATTTTTAAAGCCACTGCAAAGCCCTTGAAAACTGAACTGACATTGGGCTGGTTAAAAATGCAGCCCAAACCCATCCAGGTCAACTGTTAACTAAAAACTATCAATAATCCCCAGAGGATCTAAACATCTGGGGTCTTATAACATAATACTCAAAATGCACAGTATAAAATCCAAAATAATCCAGTATGTAAAGAACCAAGAAAATTTCAGCTCATAGGAGAAAATACAGCTGACCAATGCTAGTAAAAAGGTGACCCAGGAGTTGGAATTTTCTACCAAACACTTTTTTTTTGAGGGGGGGGGGCGGTGGGATTTACCAGGGATTGAACTCAGGGCACTCAACCACTGAGCCACATCCTTATTTTGCATTTTATTTAGAGACAAGTCTCACTGAATTGCTTAGGGCCTCGCCATTGCTGAGGCTGGCTTGAAGTCATAATTCTTCTGCCTCAGCCTCTCGAGCCACTGGGATTCCAGGCATGTGCCAGGAATGTTTAAACACTTTTAAACAATTATAATCTGTTCAACAAGCAATCATGAACATTCTCAAAACAAATAGAAAAACCGAAAGCCTGAGTAAAATTGTAAAAGATAAAAGGGAAATTTTAGACCTGAAAAATATAATCATAGAAATAAAAAACTCATTTTAGAGGAACAGCAGCCAAAGAGAGAAGACATGGGTAAGTCCATGAACCTGAAAGTAGATCAGTAGAAATGACCCAACCAAATAAGTGGGAAGAAAAAGAGTTGTTGAGAAGTAAACCAGGCCTCAGAAGATGTGGGATTATAACAGCAAAAGTCTCCAATATTAGTCAGAGTACCCAGAGTGGGAGGAGAAAAAAAAATGCAATGCTGAGTAAATAATGGCTAAAAACTCCCTAAATTTGGTGCAAGACATAAATCTACAGATTCAAGAAGCTCAGGATTAAAACCACAAATGGAGTAAAACTAAAGTCTATCCTAAACACATTAGACTCAAGAAAGTTTTGAGGATATATCAACAGAAATTATTCAACTCAAAGGCCATAAAAAAAGACTGAAAAAAAATGAAGGGTCTCAAGGTCCTTAAACAATTAAGTGATTTGTGTGTGCATGTGTGCACATTGGGGATTGAATTCAGGACCCTACACATGCTAAGCATATACTCTACCACTGAGCTACATCCCCAGCCCAATTAAAAAAAAATGTTACAACAATGTCAAAAGTACCAGAAGTACAGAAGAAAGAGATAAGTCCAAAGTAGTAATTGAATAAATAATGGTGGAAAACTCCCAAAGTTGGTTGGTAAGCTGCATAAAGTTACCTATTCAAGAAGTTTGGAGAATGATATAGTCAAGGAAAATTACACCTAGACTAATAATAATTTTATAGAACTAAAATAATTTTCTTGAAAACCAAAGATACAGAAAAAAATTAAGCATCTGGATAAACAACATTCATTATGTACAGAATCATTCAAGGGATTTCACATTTTATATGAGAAGCCATGGAGGGCAGAAGGTGGTGGAACATCTTTAAATTGCAGAAGAAAAGTCTCAGCCTAGAATTCAATACCCAGAAACAGTCAGTTTCAGGAAAGAAGGCAAATAGACATTATCAGAGAAGCAAGACCAAGAATGTTTTACTAGCAGAACTGCCCTAAATGGAATGCAGAAATGCTAAATGGAGAGCTTCAGGTTGAATGGTAAAGATATGAGAGGGAAATGTGCACCTTCAGATAGGAAGGAATAACAACAGAAATTGTAGCTATTTGGGTAAATACAATAGAAGACTATTTTCTTCTCTTAAGTTTTTTGAAGTATGTATGAATGTTAAAACAAAAAGTGAAACACTGTCTGGTCGGGTTTCCACTGTATGTAAGTGTAACACATATGATAACTATACCCTGCCATAGTAGAATAGTATAAAGGAGTAGATAGATAGCTCTGAAACCATGAGCCAAAATAAAGTTTTCCTCCTCTAAGTTGTTATTATAAGGTATTTTTGTCAGAGTGACGAAAAACTGACTAACACAGCATCTGAGAGGGAATTAATAAGAAGCCCTACATTTTTACACGAAACAGTGGAATAGTAAGTTGAAGATACAAGATCAATTCTCTAGAAGACATATACTGACATATACTCCACCTCCTACGCTGCCAGTTCTTGTTTATAATTATCAAGAATAACTAGAATATTCTGGGAAGAATATTCTGGGAATATAAAATTCTGAGATAAGGAAGCTGGGGGGAGTGCTGGTTGGAACAGTGTGGGCTCTCTTCCAGTCCCTTCTAAAAACAAGATGTCCTGATAAGTGAGTTCATATGTCCCCAGGGTATAAAATCCAGGGCAGGCTACTTTCTGAGGTCCTGCAGCAGTAAGGCAAGTGAGAAAACTCAAAAGATGATATTCCAGCTGTCCTAGGCAGCTTTCCTGAGCCCTGCGGGGACTAACTAGCCATGAATTCCAAGACTCTCATTATCTTTTTTCTGCTTGTCTTTAAGTAACAAATCCACTTCACATAACTAGTATATAACCAATGAGTGAGCAGGATACAGTCTGACAGAAACATGGTTTATTGGCTAAGTGGGAGGAGCAACATTCCCTCTCATACCTGGCCCAGGTAGAAATGTCAGCCTGGTGGTGCAAGGGATGGTCATGCAGCTGAATGATTTATGAGGAAAGAAGGATACTGAGGGGGACATAAGTTTCTCTCTCTAGCACACGCACATGCACACACACACACACACACACACACACAAGCATGTGTTGCATGGATTGAGACAGAAAAAAAAATGGGAATAGATAAGCTCATTCACAATTCCCTGACTATCAGGCACTTATGTGATCTTTCATCCCTGGAAAGCCTGGGTAGTAAATATTTACATAGACTCTCAGGCATCTGTTATGGTTTGGATATAAAATATCCCCCCAAAGCTCCTACATTAATAAAAGAACATTTAGAGGTGAAAAGATTGGATTGTGAATGGAATAAGTGGGTGGTAACTGTAGCCTGGTGGGCTGTGATTACAGGAGGTGGATCACTGGGGTATGTCCTGGAAGGGTATATCTTCCCCACAGCCCCTTCCCATCCCTCTCTCTCTGCTTCCTGGCCCCAAGAGCAGAGCTGTGCTCCTCTGCCATGCTCTTCTGCCATGAGGCTCTCTGCCTTACCTTGGGCTCAGGGCAAGGGAGTTGTCCATGAAGTGGGTCTCTGAAACCATGAGCCAAAATAAAGTTTTCTTTCTCTAAGTTGTTATTGTAAGGTATTTTTGTTACAGTAATGAAAAACTGACTAACACAGCATCTGAAAGGGAATTAATAAGAAGTCCTCCAATGATCCTCAAGACATCTGGGAGGGAGCTAACATGAGCACTGCAACCTGCATAGAAAGGGGCACTCATGATCTAAAGGACAGATGTAGAAAAAAGCCAGGGGAGTCTCATGCAGCCTTGTTGGCATGTCTGCTTAATAA